AATACTCATGAAAGAAATTGAGGAAGACACAAAGAAATGGTAAAACGTTCCATGCTCATGGATTGGAAGAACAAATATTGTGAAGATGTCAATGCTACCTAGAGCAATCTACACATTCAATGCAATCCCCATCAAAATACCATCCACTTTTTTCAAAGAAATGGAACAAATAATCCTAAAATTTGTATGGAACCAGAAAAGACCCCGCATAGCCAGAGGAATGTTGAAAAAGAAAAGCAAAGCTGGCGGCATCACAGTTCCAGACTTCCAGCTCTATTACAAAGCTGTCATCATCAAGACAGTATGGTACTGGCACAAAAATAGACACATAGATCAATGGAACAGAATAAAGAGCCCAGAAATGGACCCTCAACTCTATGGTCAACTCATCTTTGACAAAGCAGAAAAGAATGTCCAATGGAAAAAAGACAGTCTCTTCAACAAATGGTGTTGGGAAAATTGGACAGCCACATGCAGAAGAATGAAACTGGACCATTTCCTTACACCACACACAAAAATAGACTCCAAATGGTTGAAAGACCTCAATGTGAGACAGGAGTCCATCAAAATCCTAAAGGAGAACACAGGCAGCAACCTCTTTGACCTCAGCCGAAGCAACTTCTTCCTAGAAACATCGCCAAAGGCAAGGGAAGCAAGGGCAAAAATGAACTACTGGGACTTCATCAAGATAAAAAGCTTTTGCAAAGCAAAGGAAACAGTCAACAAAACCAAAAGATAACCGACAGAATGGGAGAAGATATTTGCAAATGACATATCAGATAAAGGGCTAGTATCCAAAATCTATAAAGAACTCATCAAACTCAACACCCAAAGAACAAAGAATCCAATCAAGAAATGAGCAGAAGACATGAACAGACATTTTTCCAAAGAAGACATCCAAATGGCCAACAGACACATGAAAAAGTGCTCAATATCGCTCGGCATCAGGGAAATCCAAATCAAAATCTCAATGAGATACCACCTCACACTGGTCAGAATGGCTAAAATTAACAAGTCAGGAAACGACAGATGTTGGAGGGGATGCGGAGAAAGGGGAACCCTCCTACAGTGTTGGTGGGAACGCAAGCTGGTGCAGCCACTCTGGAAAACAGTATGGAGGTTCCTCAAAAAGTTGAAAATAGAGCTGCCATACGATCCAGCAATTGCACTACTGGGTATTTACCCCCAAGATACAAAAGTAGGGATCCGAAAGGGTATGTGCACCCCGATGTTTATAGCAGCAATGTCCACAATAGCCAAACTGTGGAAAGAGCCAAGATGTCCATCGACAGATGAATGAATAAAGAAGATGTGGTATATATATATATATATACAATGGAATATTATGCAGCCATCAAAAGGAATGAGATCTTGCCATTTGCAACGACGTGGATGGAACTGGAGGGTATTATGTTGAGTGAAATAAGTCAAATAGAGAAAGACATGTATCATATGATCTCACTGATATGAGGAATTCTTAATCGTAGGAAACAAACTGAGGGTTGCTGGAGCGGGGGGTGGAGTGGGAGGGATGGGGTGACTGGGGAGGGTATGTGCTCTAGTAAGCGCTGTGAACTGTGCAAGACTGTTGACTCTCAGATCTGTACCTCTGCAACAAATAATGCAATATATGTTAAGAAAAAAAAAATGAAGAAGAAGAAGGTAGCAGGAGAGGAAGAATGAAGCGGGGGAAATCGGAGGGGTAGACGAACCATGAGAGACGATGGACTCTGAAAAACAAACTGAGGGCTCTAGAGGGGAGGGAGGGTAGGAGGATGGGTTAGCCTGGTGGTGGGTATTGAGGAGGGCACATTCTGCATGGAGCACTGGGTGTTATGCACAAACAATGAATCATGGAACACTACATCTAAAACTAATGATGTAATGTATGGGGATTAACATAAGAATAAAAAATTAAAAAAAAAAAAAAGTCAGTTATCTTCCATATCTGTCCACAGATGTCAGAAAAGGACATCAAACAGAGCCTACAACTCTGAGGCTGTGACATCAAGCCTCCCTGAAGACATGTGACAAAAACAGATGAAGGATTTACTTGAGAGAACATGTATCTTATTCACTTATATTGGCACTTCAATGAGCAAGTTTATTCCAAAGAACAAAAATTACACTGGTTGTATGATGCTATACAGACCTCAACTTCCCAATCTGTTGTGCTAGTCTGTCTGTCATCCTTGCTCTCACACACTCCACCTCTCAGACATGTGCATTCATGCACAACAACCTACCAGCAGCAATCATCTCTGAACCCCACAGAGAGCAGTATTTATGGGCATATACACATATAATGCACAGCCCTGAGTATAAGCAATTAATCATTTTCAAGAAACATTCAACCAATAAGCAAAAATGTTCTCCCAATCTGAGATATTAAGCCAGATTTTTTTTTTCAGGAACTAAACTACTTTCTAAGAAAATCCTTTAACAACTTCATGAACACATTCAAGTTGTTCACAAAGAGCATGAGTTATATATTCAGGCAGCAACCTACTAAATGATACCAGGAGAATTTAGGGAGGAAAAAAAAAAAAAAGAATGTACCAGCATGTAAAACAATAAGACTTAGGAATAAATCTAACCAAGGAGGTGAAAAACTAAAGTGCTGAAAACTACAAAACATTGTTGAAAGAAATTAAAGAAGCCATAAATACATCCTGCATTCATAAACTGGAATACAATACTCTTAAGATATCAAAAGTACCCAAAGCAACCTACAGCTTTAATTCAGTCCCAAAGGTACTTTGTGCAGAAATAGAAAAATTCATCCTAAAATTCACATGGCACCTCAAGGGACCCAAATAGTCAAAACAACCTTGAAAAGGAAGAATAAAGTTCGAAGACTCATACCTCCTGACTTTGAAATGTATTAACAAAGCTACAGTAATTAAAACAGTATAGTACTGACATGAGAAGAGACATAGAGACCAGAGAGTAGAACAGAGAGTACAGAAATAAACCCTCACATATGTAGTCAATTGATTTTCAACAATATCAAGAGCATTCCATGCAGAAAGAATAGTCTTTTTAACAACTGGTGCTTTACACATAAAAGAATGAAGTCGGACCCTTATCTTATACCATACACAAAAATTAACTCAAAAAGGATCACGGACCTAAATGTTAAAAACTAAAACAAAAAATTCTTAGGAGAAAACAAAGAGGAAAATCTTCATGAACAATTTGGCAACAATTTCATGGATATACCACCAAAAGCACAGGCAACAAAAGAAAAAATGGATATAATGGACTGCATCAAAATTAAGCACCTTTGTGCATCAAAAGAAACTATGAAGAAAGCAAAGAGGCAACGAAGAAAATATTTACAAATATTTGCAAATCATATACACGGAAAAGGATTAATATCCAGAATATATAAAGAATTCCTTAAAAAAACAAGAAAACCAACTGAAAAATGAGCAAAGAGCATGAACAGACATTTCTCCAAAGAAAAGCACATAGCCAATAAGTATATGAAAAGATACTCAACATTATTAGTCATTAGGAAAATGCAAATCAAAACCATGAGATATTCACTTCACACCTACCTTGATGGCTATGGTTAAAAAAAAAAAGGAACAGGTGTTGGCAAGGATATAGAGACACTGGAATCGTTAAGCACTGCTGGCAGGAATATAAAATGGTGCAGCCACTTTGGAAAGAGTTTTGTGGTTTTTCATAAGGTAAATGTAGATTACCATAAGAATCAGAAACTCCACCCTTAGGTATATACCCAAGAGAATGGAAAGCAAAGACTTGAACAGATATTTGAACACCAATCTTCACAGAGCATTATTCACAATAGCCAAAAGGTGAAAATAACCCATTACAGATGAAGAGATAAACAAAATGTGGCATGTACACACAATGGAATATTATTTTGTCATAAAAAGCAATGAAATTTTGATATATGATACAAAAGGACCTTGAAAATATTACGCTTAGTGAAAGAAGTTGACACAGAAGGACAAACATTAATGATTCCACTTATATGAGGTACCTAGTATAAGCAAATTCTCACAGAAAGTAGAACAGAGATTACCAGGGTCTGACTGGGAAAGGGCAAGAGAGTTATTATTTTTAATGGGTACAGAGTTTATGTTGGATGATGAAAAAGTTTTGGATCTAGATGGTGGTCATTGTTATAAAACATTCTGAATGTATTTAACGCTGCTGAATTGTACATTTATGAATGGTTAAAATGATAAATATTATGTATAGTTTATCACAATAAAGAAAAAAATAAGGAATTTTCATGTGCACTTTCCTCCATTATGATTCTGTTTTGTTCACTGGCCCAAAGCCCTGGCAAGAGAAATATAATATTAATCTCAAACTTAAAATGGATCCCAATTAAGGACGTGCTGTATATGGGTACACCAAGTTTATAAGCTTCAGACTTTTTAGCAGAACATTCCATCCAAAATAAATAAGTGACCTAAAACAAAAATTATTCTAAGATAAAATTATTTGTAGGATATTTGAAGATGTGCAAGCAATAAATCCTATACCTAGAAAACACCCTCAGACTGAAACAACTAAGAAACTTGTGATTTACCATTAAATCAAAGATTTTAGAAACTTGTCTTCAGGGCATTCTCCCAATCATTTTTCCCACAGTAACAAACTTAGTTTACATTCAACAACTGCTATATGTCTAAAAATACTTTTTTCCACTTCAGATACCTAATAAAAAGTAAACTCCCATGGTTTTGTTTTCTTTTTATATTAAAAATAAATAGAAAATTCAGGGGCACCTGGGTGGTTAAGTGTCCAACTCTTGGTTTTGGCTGAGGTCATGACCTCAGGGTCATGAGATCAAGCCCTGCGTTGGGCTCTGTGCTCTCTCCCCTCTCTCCCTTTGCCCCTTTCCCTGCTCTCACACATACACATGCTCTAAGACAAAATAAATAAATAAAATCTTAAAATAAATAGTGAAATTCAACATATTTGTTTTTAGTTACTAACTGTAATTAGTCTCTTACCCACGCATACAGGTAATAGCTTTTCTGTAGATCCATCTTCTTCTTTTGTTACTTTTTTTTTTGACATTTCAACAGTTTTCTTGTATCCTTTTTTGGCCTGATCCACCAGAAGCCGAAATTCATTCTGATGTTTTTTACCTAAAATTCAAAAGATCTTCTCAGTAAAGCAAGAACCATAACTTTTATTTTTGTTATGCTGACAAACTGAGTATCAAGAAGTATACAAACTTGCTCAAGAACAACATCCTGGGGGCACCTGGGTGGCTCAGTTAAGTGTTGGTTAAGCATCTGCCTTCAGCTCAGGTTATGATCCCAGGGTCCTGGGATGGAGCCCCAAGTTGGGCTCCCTGCTCAGTGGGGAGTCTGCTTCTTCCTCCCCCTCTGCCCCTACCCCCCCTTGTGCTCACTCGCTCTCTCTCATAAATAAATAAAATCTTTTTTTTTAAAGATTTATTTATTTATTTATTTGACAGAGAGAGAGACAGCGAAGAAGGGAACACAAGCAGGGGGAGATGGGAGAGGGAGAAGCAGGCTCCCCGCTGAGCAGGGAGCCCGATGCGGGGCTCGATCCCAGGACCCTGGGATCATGACCTGAGCCGAAGGCAGACGCCTAACGACTGAGCCACCCAGGCGCCCCAAAATCTTTAAAAAAAAAGAACAACATCTTTGGGAATCACTTGCAATAAATTTCAAAGCTGGCAAGCACAAAAATACAAAGGGCTAGGGGTCACGGAAGCTTCTCCTTCTTATCTTCTCCTTTCCTCAGATACAAACATGGAAACAGGATATTCCTAGTTCGCTACTGTAAGTTTTTTCCCCCAAGCCCCATACTCTGAAGGCTTTTGAGAGAGCACGAAAGATACCACTTCCTTATATATATCCAAAAGACACCATTCTAACTCCCAAGAAAAGAGTACTAACATGAAGAACACTAACTGAATATAAAAGCAGAAGCCTCCAGGAAAGTTGGATTATAAAAACAAAGGATACCCATTTCAATTCCCTTTTTCCTTTGCATTTCTTGCCTATTTCCCATCAAGATCCCTTTAACATCCACTACCCCACCCCCAATCCACCTTATCTCAGGATATCGTAATTACACCAATCTTAATAACACCTGCTACTTTAACACATCTGAAGATAATATAAGCCTGATCTCAAGGTCACCATTATTAATGTACATTAATCTACTCAATAAAGAATAGCCAGGCATTGTTAGAGCACAGCCTTCAGGACATCTATTTGTGATCCTGAACTATAGTTCAGATAGCTGAGAATGCACTTGACTTACCCAGCACCCTCAAACACTTAAGTCATGGTTCAAAATGATGTCATAAATCCTGTAAAAATGTATTTTAGAAAGAATCATACTGCAAATAGTTCAAGTTTTGAGACCGTTTTCATACAGTACCAACACTTTCCCTGTGGCACAACATTAAGAATCCATGAGTGTAGGAAAAAATTTGTGCTTTTATTGAAAACTATGCCTTTTCTAGAGCTACCCTTCCAGGATTCCATTCACTGCCTTGGAGCTTTGTCACAGCTCTGTAAATTGTAGATAACTGATGGCAACGAAAAATAATTCTTGTCTACAGACATGCAAAATCCTGCGAGGTGAAGGCTCAATTGACCCCCTCCCCCCCACTGGCAGAAGCCCATTTTGCCTCCATTTGCACAGATTTCAATATTCCTGATCTATAAATATGACTGTTCTTTGGACATTAGGGAGGAACTGCTCCTAATCCCAATATATTTATGTGCATGGTACATGTAAAACTCCCCATGAAACTGGTATGTTGGCTTGGAAAGTGGTAAATTTTAAATAAGAGACCGGTTAAAATTCCAGCAAGAAATGTGGGCTGGCCATAAAGATTACTGGGAAAAGTTAGCTCTTCAGAAATAAATGAGATCCTATCTAGGAAATAAGCTAGGTGATTTCTTTCAGGTCCTATTTAACTCTGTGCATTTGAGGATAATTATTTTATACTTCCCTCAGCTCCCCAGAGTCAGTGGGCGACCACCACCACCATCACTATGTGGTTTCTGTTAGGCAAGGGTATCACAGCACTATGGGGTCTACGAAATTTGGTCAGACCTGGTCTAGGTCTTCTCCCAGTGAGGCCACTGTGTACAAGGGAATTATGGGTGTAAGAATTACTTTAAAAACTAGCTCAAGTAATCTCATTAAGAGTTAAGGAGGCTTAATGACTTTCTCTTCTAAAGTAATAAAATCCCAGGTTTAAAAGAGATTTTCTTTGTTTAATCTGATTACCCCTACAGCTAGGCTGGAAACCAAAAAGTAAATGGCAGCCACTGCTCTGGCTTTGGCCCAAGAAGTCCAATAACCTCTCTCTGCTCAAAAGATGAACAATGCCAAGAGATTATGACTAATAAAATTGTTCCCATTCATCTCTTCATCTCATTTTAGGAGCTGTGCCATCTGGCAAGGAGTACTTTAGAGTTTAAAATCTCAGTTCTGCTAATTAGATGCCCTGAATTTACCTCTTAAAAATATTAAGTGGCTGAGATCATTGTGGGAGCTGATGAATAAGCCCCACATTCAACCAACTCATATTTTCAAGATTTTTAATACTTGAATCGTATCACCTTTTCTGCCTCTCCAAGTCAAGCCCTTCACTCTTTCACCACCCCTTAACTACTTTTTTAAATTTTTTTTTTTTAAGACTTTATTTATTTGCGAGAGAGAGAATGAGAGACAGAGAGCATGAGAGGGAGGAGGGTCAGAGGGAGAAGCAGGCTCCCTGCCGAGCAGGGAGCCCAATGCGGGACTCGATCCCGGGACTCCAGGATCATGACCTGAGCCGAAGGCAGTCGCTTAACCAACTGAGCCACCCAGGCGCCCCCTTAACTACTTTTTTAGACCTACTTTTACAGCCAAAGCATCTCTGGATCTGCCTGTGAACTCCGAGGTACACAAGACCAAAGCCAGGCTCTCACAAGAATGGGACAGACTCACCCTCCAAAATGATGACACTGAGATACTCATCTACTTTAAGTCACAGAACAAGTTTGGAGTCAGTGTCTCTCAAAGTAAAATCTCATGCATTTTTCTCACCAACCATCTAGCGCCCTCAAGCATCTAAACCTGGATGGAGAAGAGAGTAACTGTAATGGCTAACGTTCACTAAGGGCTTATTCATTTAGCCCTGAACTGACCAGTCTCACTTGAAATCCATGACATAAGCCTAAAATGGGCACTCAACACTGCTGTACAACTTTTTCACCTTTCTCTAGCAAACTCTGCTTTACTACAAAATGACCATTTCACTCTTTTCACACCTGCAACACTCCCTTCTCAGCCAGCCTCACACTACTTGGAAAGCACAGAAACATTCTAACAGGAGCTCTGTCATCTTCCAACTACCATTACTTCATCTGTGCACATATGCTCTATCTTCCTTGTATGAAACAAGGAATGACTGTCCTTGCAGCAATTAAAGGCCAAACCCCGGCCATCTTGGAACCTGTGGAGGCCTGCTGGGAACAGGACTCCTAAAACGACAAATAGGTCTGGGAGGCAGTGGTCCAAGGCCATTTTTGCCAGCTATCAGCCAGGTCTCCAGAACCAGAGGGAGCACACAGCTCTTCTTAAAATTGAAGGTGTTTATGCTCGAGATGAATCTGAATTCTACCTAGGCAAGAGATGTGCTTATGTGTACAAAGCAAAGAACACCACAGTGACTCCTGGTGGCAAACCAAACAAAACCAGAGGAATCTGAGGAAAAGTAACTCGTGCTCATGGAAACAGTGGCATGGTTCGTGCCAAATTCCAAAGAACCTTCCTGCTAAAGCCACTGGCCACAGAATCTGTGTAATGTTGTACCCCTCAAGGATTTAAACTTACTGGAAAATAAATAAATAAAGGTATAGATCTATTCTCTTGGGGAAAAAAAAAAAAAAGGCCAAGCCCTAACTTATGCCCTGGATTTCATCACTAAGGCCTTCTCAAAGATACAGCACCTGTGATTACTCTCTCCCTGTCTTACATCATCAATTTTCCTTTCCCACTGGCATACAAATACACCTGGGACGGTTCTGCTGGAAGTGAGAGTGTGGGTTATGAAAACAATTAGGTATAGCCCAGCGTTTTTTCTTAATGAAATAATAAGAGTAGAATGGAAGGTACCAGAGTACATTAAAAATGGCAAGAGTAAGCAACCAAGATGTCATAGTTGAATGGATAAGCTATAGTACATGTAGACAATGGAATATTATTCAGCACTAAAAAGAAAAGCACCATCAAGCCATGAAAAGACATGGAGGAACTTTAAATGCATATTGCCAAGTGACAGAAGACAATCTGAAAAGACTACATATCATATGATGCCAACTATATGACATTCTGGAAAAGGCAAAACTATGCAGATAATAAAAAGATCAGTGGTTGCCAGGAGTTTTGTAGCAGGTAGGGTATGAATAGATGAAGCACAAAGGATTCTTAGGGCAGTTAAAATATTCTGCAGGATACCACAGTGATGCATGTCATTGTATCTCTGTCCAACACCAAGAATGAACCCTAAAGTAAAGTATGGACTTCGGTGACTATGATGTGTCAATGTAGGTTCACCAACTATAACAAATGTACCCTCTGGTGGGGGGTGTTGATAATGGGAGAGGTCATGAATGTGTTGGGGCGGGGAATATGTGGGAACTCTGTACCATTTCCCTGCTCTAAAAACAAAGTCTTATTTAAAAAAAAAGAGAGAGAGAAACAGAGTAGGATGCAGTATGGATGGTTTGGATAAGCATAACCAACTGGCTTTGGAACATAATTATCCCACTACTTATATTTTTTTCAAAGTCAATGAAATTTTGAGAGAAAAATTATAGAAAATAATTTTTCTAATGTTGGGGCCATTTAAGGTTGGGGAGGGGGAATGCAAACATCATTTGGAAAACATCTGAATACAACCTTTTAAAAAAATGAGAAGGGTAAATATTGCTTTGTGAAACTTCTATTTCACAAGGTAAAATGAGAACTACAAATATAGCACTTCTGCTACATACCCAAAGTACCCTGAAGAAGCACTTGTGTAATTATTTCAGTTGTGAGCTAAATTAGCCACTTTTTAAATGAACATTGTTTTTATTTGAAAGAACAGTAGACAAACCGTGATTATTCAGACTTGGCTAATACATTTTCTCAAAAATGAATGAAGGAAGTTGTCATTTCAAGAAAAACAATTAACAGTATTTGCTGCCAAATATAAAAGAATATCTTTCAAGTGAAAATCAGAATTTTGGATGACTGGTATCCACCATTATGATCTAACAACTTCCCAATACTTAACTTTTCTGATAAGACTGGTGGTGAGGGCGCCTGGGTGGCTCAGTTGGTTAAGCGACTGCCTTCGGCTCAGGTCATGATCCTGGAGTCCCTGGATCGAGTCCCGCATCGGGCTCCCTGCTCAGCAGGGAGTCTGCTTCTCCCTCTGACCCTCCCCCCTCTCATGTGCTCTCTCTCATTCTCTCTCTCTCAAATAAATAAATAAAATCTTAAAAAAAAAAAAAAAAGACTGGTGGTGAAACTAAGGAATGCTATTTTTTATACAATATAAATGCAATATAAATATGCAAACATTTGCAACTCAATGAATCAATATTTTCCAAATAACCAACAAATGATGCTACAAAATCATTCACAGGTAAAAGGTGCACTCAAAGCAACAAGATAGACCAGTGGATTTTTACGCAATAGAGTACAGAAACTTCATTAATATGATTTCAAATTCCATTGTAAATAACCTTTCTGAAATAACACTTGCCAAGAATATCCATGATTACCTAAAAAATCTACTGAAACCCTTTCCTGCATCAGGCTGGATATTTTTCATATACTTAAACCAAAAAAACACATGGCAACAGTTTAAATGCAGAAGCTGATATGAGAATCAAGATGTCCTCTATTAAGCAAGACATCAAAGAGATCTGCGGAAATAGAAAAGAATGCCACTCTCGTCACTAAGTTTTTAAAATGAGACTTCCTGAGAAATAATGTACACACAATAAAATTCATCAATTTTAAGTGAACAATCTGATGCATTTTTTAAAAAATGTGCAGTCATGTAACTACCAATAAGTCAGGTAAAAGAGTCCCTCCATGATCCCCTTTTCCTCCCACCCACAGCAGCTGGCAGTACCAATTTGCTTTCAGTTACTAATCGCTGCCTTTTCTAGAACTTTATATAAACGGAACCAGTCAAGATGTTGCCTTTTTAGTTTGGCTTGTGTTGTGACACAATGTTGTTGACATCCCTCCATGTTGTTTCCCATATGGAGAGTTAATTCTTTTTTTTTTTTTTTAACTGATTAAGGCATATTCCATTATATTCTTAATGTACTAAATTGGTATTAAAAAGGTAGGAAAACCATTTACATTTATATTTTAATGTAGGATAATAAAAGCCAAATTACAGACAACATTGAAGTTTTTTTCTTTCTTTTTTTAAATTCTAGGGTACATGTACTGGGGAAAAAAACAAGAAAATTAGTTCAGGGACTTTTTTCTGAACAAATGACATCACAGGTTTCCCATGATATGTCCCTAAGCCGCTAAGTCTCATCTGTCACACAGGACACTGAATGGTGACCGTCTCTCACATTTGTTACTTGTAATTCCTAAGTGGTCAATATGGAGTATCTTCATTTCTGGGTAAGAAAAAAGCATTTTGGTCCATTAATTCACCTACTCGCTCCTGGAGGACGTTAACCAACTCTGCAATAACAAAGACATGAGTGTCATCAATATCTTGAATGATGAACTTCTTCCCTAAGGCATTTAATTCATCCAAGTACAGCAGGAACTGCTTCATGGCAGGGTCACATTCTATTAGCACTCCTTTCAAGACATTGACCATCTTTTCCCAGTCCAAAGGTGCAGATGACCTTTAAAATGCTCCACCCTCAGAACCAGCAGCACTTCGAGTTAATTCTTTTTTATTGTTAAGTACTGTTCCATTGTATACGGATGTATTATAATGTGTTTATGGATATTTAGGTTGTTTTCAGTTTAGGATAATATGAATAAGCTGCTATAACATGTGTCAATAATATCCTTCAAATTGTACATTATAACTGATGAATTTTATTTTTTGGAAATTATATATCAATAAACCTGCTTTCAAAAATCTCTGTGTGGACATACGCTTTCATTTCTCTTGAATAAACAGCTAGGAGTAGAATGACTGGGCTATATGTAGGTATGTGACTTTAAAGCAAACTGCTAAACGGTTTACCTAAGTGACTGTGTCACTTTGCATTCTCACCAGCAATGTATAAGATTGCCATTTGCTGTACATCCTGACCAGCAGTTTGGTATTATCCTTTTTTGCTTTTTTTCCATTAAAGTAAGTACATAGTATTATTTAATTTATTTTTTTGTATTATTTCATTTAAAATGATATTTTCCTAAAGACTAATAAGATTAACCATATATTTTCATGTGGTTATTTGGTTTTTGAATACCTATTTTGATGAAGAATGTTTAAATCTTTTGCCCTCGTAAAAAAAATATGGTATTTGCCTTACTGAATTGTAAGAGTTCTAAAGAATATAGTACATATATAGAACATAATATAGACACTAGTACTTTGTCAAATATAAATTTTACAATATTTTCTCACAATCTGTAGCTTGATTTTTCATTTTTATATTTGCCTTTTAAAGAGTAAAAGTTTAATTCTACTGAAATATAACTTATCACATTTTCTTTAAGCTTTTTCTTTTATGATTCAAACTATTTGTGAAAGATGATCATCTCGGCTGTGAATATAGTTTTATTCCTTCTGTTCAAATCTGTATACTATTTATTCCTGCTTCTTCACACTGTAAATACAATGTTGAACAAAAGAGGTGAGAATGGACACCTTTACCTTGTTCCCAATCAGAAGAAAAGCATTTACTATTTCATCATTAATTATGATGCTAGCTGTAGGTTTTCTGTAGATATTCTTTATCAGATTGAAGAAATTCTATTTTAGTAAGAGTTTTTATTATTAATGGGTGTTCAATTTTGTCAAATGCTTATTCTGCACCCACTTAGAGAATCATATAGTGGTTTTTTTTCAGTCACTTAATACAGTGAATTACAATGATGAATTTTCTAAAATTAAACCAATCTTGCCTTATTAGGATACATCCCACTTGGTTATGATGTATCATCCTTTATATGTACTGCCAAGATTTAATTTATTAAAATCTTGTTAAGGATTTTTGCATCCGTGTTCATAAGGATTACTAGTCAGAACTTTTACTACATTGTCTTTGGTTTGTAGTTTCATGGAAACTTCAGCCTCATAAAACGAGGTAGGAAGTATTCCTTGCATTTCAATCTTCTAGCAGAATATGTATCGAATTGATATTATTTCCTTCCTTACATATTTCATGGAATTCACCAGTAAACCCATTTGGACCTGGCATTTCTTCAGGGACTGCAAATTCAATTTGCCTATCTACTTCTTCTTGAATACGATTTAGTAATTTGTATCTTTCTAAAAATTGTTCATGTATTTTTTTTTAATTAGATATGGAGGTTTATTTTTGGGCTAAATGCATTAATTTAATACGACCTACCTAGTGAAGTTAGACTTTTTTTTATATGTAAATGGGGAGCAATAGATAGTTGTATATTTTCTTGCCTAAATCTAATCCACATTTTTCTCAGTATGGCATTGTTTCTCAGTATGGTATCCTTTTAGTGATTTAAATTACTTTCTCTCCAAGCAAATTTTCTGGTATCCTTATTTTTACAGGACTTATTTTTGACAATTCAATGATCATTTGATAGTCTCGATTTCCTATCTCAAGAAAAATCACGTTGACTTCCCAAAACTTGATTAAGGACGCTCCCATTACATTTATCTAACAACAGAAAAACAGTGACTTTTGTTGTTCAGTCTGTGGTCCATGAATACTTGAGGCTTCTTTTCCTACTCTAGTAAGGCACAGGCCATCACACCTGTATCTAGTGCCTGTGTACTTTATTCCCCCCTCCCCAAGCAGATCAGTACTGAACTTACACATTCAAAGCTTAATAACTAAAAGAAGAAAACAAAATTCTCTTAGCACAACTAAAACATATCATGTGTGGAATACTCATTCAACAAAAATTTATCAACTACCTGTTTGTAAGGCACTTAAATTTAAACTAAAAATGCAACCAACCAAACAATAATAGCTACCGAATTGACAAAACACTGAAGCGCTGGCCCTGGAAAAGATACATACAAAGGCCTAATAAGGAAAAGGAAGTAATTTGGAAGTTGGTAATAACTGATAAAATGAAAAATATTTTTGGCACAAATTTGCAAGCCACAGAAGTGCTAAAATTCTTCACAAAAGTATTGCCAGTGAGTGGCCTGAGGACAGATAGAAAGTCAGGAAAGTTTCCATTTTAATTCCATTTTATTTTCAGAGAGATGCTTTGAGACAGCTAATTAATATTTTACAAAGTGCTTAGTGATAAGCTCAAAGTAGAATGTTAGAAATCAAAAAGCAGGCACACAGACCTACAGAAAACGTCACTGAATAAACCACTCAACCAAAATTCAGTTGCTTAGGTAATATTAACAAGAAATGTTTATATCAAATATTACTATAAAAATTTATTTTAAAAAATTACTTAACATGAAAATCTGCAACCCAAGTTCTCTGTAAATAAAGAAGATGCCACACAACTTACGATATTTACTGTGAATTTCATCTATTTCCTTTTCTGTTTGGTCCTTTGTAAAAACCATTATCTAAAATAATCCAAAAAAAGTTTAATTAAAAATTCAAAATATGACAAAAACAGAAATTAGTATTACAAACTTTAAAATCTCAAATGTGGATGTTTAGAACAGGGGAAAATAATCTCTTATCTCTGTTTTATAGAAACCTAGGAAGAGTAACTCCTGTGAACTTCCCTTGAATAGCATAATTAGTATACCTTTTACTACTGTTTTCTTATGTGTAGAAAATGCAACACTAATATACAGATTAACACTAAGATGAAGTATTAACACAATTAAATTCCTATTTTCAATATTTAATTTTTCACATTCATTAATACAAGTAATATTTGAAACTACAAGACTGAAGAAGCATTCAGCAGATCATTAATAAGGCAGATTTTCTTGTTTGTCTTCTCCCTTTTCCAACCGAACTTCTCCAATTCTACTGGAAAGTTAACATATAAAGAAAATATGATATTGTAAGACTTTAGCACATTAAATTTCTACCTCCACTTTTGAAAATCTTAAGACTTAAAAGATCAGAAATCTACTTACATGATTCATTATAGCCTCCATCTTACAGTTAGCACACAGATAATGATAAAGTCAATGAATATCTCATTTTTTTTCTACTATCTGATTATAAACTTACTTCCCTAAGGTCGTAGCTTTCCTTACAGACACATTACCGATGGTCTAGGAAAAAAAGTCTACTTGGGAGAGCCCAAAACACTTCCTCCAGTGTCATAGGACACAAGGACTATTTTCTTCTTTGGTATCCTTTCCTCAAGTTTTGGACCATCAAGCTAGAGGAAGGCAATAGTGAAGAATTTTAAGTCTCTGATTCCCTCAATAAGCTCAATAGATACTCAATCCTCATAAAGTTTTATAATTACTTAATTTCTCCATCAGTATCATCACAGAATTGCAGAATGCCAGAGCTAAAGGGTGATCTTAGAGATCGTATAGTTCAACCCCTGAGTTTTACAGACAAAGATCCCAAGGGCCACAGATATTAAAGAGCTCATCAAACGCTACCAGCAGAGAAAGAACTAATATCAAGGCCATCTGATGTACAGGCATATGCTTTTTCTATAGGACTATAATTGTATTTTGTCCTAGAAGACTGCTAAATGTGACAGAATTCTGTGCTAAAAATGAACTGCAAGTAAATCATAATACATTAAATGGAAATATGTCCCAGGACATTTCCTATTGAACAGATTTAATTCTGGCATGCTTTAATTTTATCAGGGCACTCAATTTTTCTTTCCATCATTTCTACCCAGATAATGAAATACACCATCAACATACGCTTTCATTGAGTTTACTAGCTTCAAGACGCATCCTAGTCTTCTCCATATTTTCAATTTCTTGAACTATTTCAGCAGCTGTTAAAATAAGGACACAGAGCCAATGTTAATTATATGGTTTTCATCATTGTACTATGGTTATGTAAGGTGTTAACTCTAAAGCTGGAAGATGGGTATATGTGAACGCCCTGTCCTACTCTTAAAATTTTTCTCTAAGTCCAAAGTTATTTCAAAATAACACATTATAAAAATAACATGGAATAAAACATTGAATTCTTACACATGCAGAACAGTTTAAGACACAACTATAAGAGTACAGTAATTTTGCTCTTTAAGAATATAGGTATAAATAGCAGTCCCAGTGGAATATGAAAATTAACTTGTTAGTGTGAATCCAATTCTTAGCAAGATATCCACTCAAATTCCAATGTACTAAATATAAATTTACACTCTTAGATACAGAGCACTAACAGCTATGGAGCAATATCAAAAAGCCTAACATACATGTAACAGAAATCCCAAAAGAGGAAGAAAAAAGGGAAAAGAAAAAATATTTTAGGACCCAATGGCCAGAATTTGCCAAATTTAATTAAAGACACCAAACCACAAATATATGCAGAATAAATGCAAAAACAAAACAAAACAAAAATACAATAACATATATACACACTGACACACAGAGAAAATCTGTGTGAGCCAGAGAAAAAGAGTGTATTACATAAAGAAAAATCAAGCATTATATCATGCTTTTTATCAGAAACCATTCAAGCCAGAAGACAATGGAGTGATGAATTAAAAGTATAGGGGAAAACCCCTGCCAATCCAGAATTCTATACCAATGGAAATATTTTTCAAAAGTGAAGGATGAATAAACATTTTCTGAGACAAACAAAAACAGAGAATGTATTATTAGCAGACCAATACCACAAAAGCGTTAAAGGAAGTTGCTTAAGCAGAAGAAATATGAAACAAGAAACTTATCTCTTCTTTATCTCTTCCTATAAGAGAAAATAAAGAGTGCTAGAAATGGTAAAAGTGAAGGTAAATGCAAAATATATTCTTCTTATTTTAACTACTCTAAAAGATAACTGTCTGTTTAAAGGAAAACAAGATATTGTGTTAACAGCATAAGTAAAAATGTAAAACTCATGACAACAACACAAAGAATTAGGCATTGGAAGTATACTGTTGTAAGGTTCTTATACTACAAATGAAGTATATCATTTGAAGGTAGACTGTGACTACTTAAAGGTGGTTATTACAAACCCTAGGTCAACCACTAAAACTTTCTGAAAAAGAGAAAATAAGCCCAAAACAGAAATAAAATGTATTAGTAAAAAATACTCAATCCAAAAGAGAATGAATGAATGAATGAATGAATGAATGGAACGAAAAGCAGACAGAACAAGCAGAAAACACTCAGCAAGATTTTAACTGTAAAGCCAACTGTTACTGATAATTACATTAAATGTAAATGATCTAAAAGCAAAAATAAGAGACAGAAAATGCAGATTAGAGTAAAAAAATCAAGAACAAACTATATGCTTTCAGCAAAGAACCCATTTTATTTTTTTTAAGATTTTATTTATTTATTTGAGAGAAAGAGAAAGGGAGCATGAGCAGGGAGAGGGACAGAGGGACAAGCAGACTCCGTGCTAAGTTGGGGCTGGATCCGAGGACGCTGAGATCATGACCTGGGCCTAAGATCATGACTGAGCCACCACCCCAGCATCCCCAAAGTACTCACTTTAAATAAAAGATATAGACAGGCTCAAAATAAAGGTATGGAGAAAGATGTATCATATAAATACTAATGAGAAGAAAGGCAGAATAGCTGTATTAATATCAGGCACAACAGACTTTAGAAAAATGAATGTTGTCAAGGATGAAGAGGGAAATTATAGGGACGCCTGGGTGGCTCAGTCAATTAAGCGTCTGCCTTTGGCTCAGGTCATGATCCCAGTGCTTCTCCCTCTGCTTGTCGCTCCCCTTCTTGTGCTCTCTCTCTTTCTCTCTCTGATAAATAAATAAATAAAATCTAAAAAAAAGGAGAGAAGTTATATAATGATAAAGGGGTTAATTCACTAAGAAAACATAAACTTTCCTATATGCGTTTGCACCTAGAACAGAAATTAAAAATGAACAAGAACTTCTAGTTCTTTTTCTTTTTTTAAAGATTTTATTTATTTATTTGACAGAGAGAGACACAGCGAGAGAGGGAACACAAGCAGGAGGAGTGAGAGGGAGAAGCAGGCCTCCTGCTGAGCAGGGAGACGATGCAGGGCTCAATCCCAGGACTCTGGGATCACAATCTGAGCCGAAGGCAGACGCTTAACGACTGAGCCACCCAGTCGCCCCCAAGAACTTCTAGTTCTGAAGAAGATGGACTTGACTCATTTCTCATATTCTTCCTAAGTATAACTAAAACCCTTAGATGTAATATAGTAACAGACAATTATAAGAGAACTCTGAAAGATAGAAGGAGGAAGATGGACTGGCTAAGGGTCTCAGAATTTAAGGAACAACATGATGGTGAGTTCCCTAGGCTTTCTCTTTATCTTCTATATATCCCAGACTGGGCACTGGTGAAGCTGCAACCCAGAACCACCAACTGTCACACACACACATACATACACACACACACATACACACACGCACACATACACACACACACAAATCTCCAAGAAAGCATTTTCTTTCTAGCAAAGGACTATGAAAGGAAGAGACCAAAAAACTTTTTGACAATACCTGACCTACTCCAACTAAATCCTGCCCACTAAAGTATCATGAGAGAATAAGTGTAGGGTGTGGATTCCACTCCCCTTCTCCCCCAGCAGTAACAGGAAGACTGGGGACAGTTTTTCTCTTCCAGCAACACTGTGCCAGTAGAGACCTAGTGAGTAACCTAGACCTCTATCCCTCACCCACCAGTAGCAGGCAGCACCCTCCCACCCCCTAACTAGTGATTGGAGTGGTAGTGATCTCATCCACCTGGAGTGAGGATCTCAAAAGAGAAAAAACCTGAAGAAAAGCATTCTTTAAACCTGCACAGCAAATCCTAAACACACTCCTGACCCACTCACATGTGAAATATTCTAAAATTAATAGGCCAGGGGCGCCTGGGTGGCTCAGTCATTTAAGCATCTGCCTTCGGCTCAGGGCATGATCCCAGTGTCCTGGGATCGAGCCCCACATCGGGCTCCCTGCTCAGCGGGGAGTCTGCTTCTCCCTCTGCCTGCCGCTCCCCCTGCTTGTACGTGCTCTCTCTCTCTGACAAATAAATAAAATCTTTGAAAAAAATAAAATTAAATTAATAGGCCAAAAGGTCTGAGAACTGAAGCACAGTATGGAATACCAGGTTTTCTGAGTGCCCCCCAGGTAGCAATTAAATGAAGCAGCTGTGAACAACACTGCAAGAGCTCTGAAAACTAACTTGTCATTAGTACCATAGTCCACAGAAGCAGGCCTGGATCTGCAAACTAAACCTAAACAGAGTGACTGCCTGCTAAAGTAGAATATTAAAAAAGGAGCTAGAATCTCATATTACAGTCAAAATGTCTAAGACACAATAAAAAACACTTGTCAACTAAGAAGGAGGAAAATCATAACTTCAATGAGAAAAGGCAATCGACAAACACTGAGATGATTCAAATCTTGAAACTATCTGATGAGAATTTTAAAGCTACCATCATAAAAATGCTTCAAGAGTACACTGGTATGTGGAATTTAAGAAACAAAACAGAGGATCATATGGGAAGAGAGGAAAAAATAAAACAAGAAGAAACTAGAGAGGGAGACGAACCATAAGAGACTCTTAATCATAGAAAACAAACTGAGGGATGCTGGGAGGGGAGGTGGGTAGGAGGCTGGGGTAACTGGGTGATGGGCATTAAGGAGGGCACGTAATGTACTGAGCCCTGGGTATTATGTAAGACTTATGAATCACAGACCTGTACCTCTGAAACCAATTATACATTATATGTTAATTGAATTTAAATAAAAAAAAATGTTTTAAAAAATGCTTCAAGAGTAATTAGGAGCACTCTCAAAACAAAACTGCTATTGTATGTAATATTTTTATGACAGCCAGTGGTCCATTATAAAAATGTATCTTCTTAAAGTAGTTTAAATGTTACATTTAAGTTATTAATGTCTTATACTTGGAAGGGACAACTAAATAACAACAACTAGAAACAAAGTGAAACAAATGAACCCCACTGTATTTCAGTAAAAAACCAAATCACAATGAAGAAAGATAAAAAGGAAATTATGAACACAATATTTGACTACATACCCTCAGTCCAGCAAAGAGAGGAGGGGAGAGGAAGTCTGGGAGAGAGAACTAAAAATATCCTGAATTCTTTCTTACAGATAGGTCTCTTTTGCAGTGGTGTAGTACTGATGAAGCAATTCTGAAACTATTTTAGATGTGCTGTTGTACATGTGCTAATGCTTTTGAAGGGAGGATTCTCCCCATGGCAAAAAAAAAAAAGGGAAATATAAATATGTAATAGAGAAAGGTAAAGAACTCTGTGGGGTTGGACTGTAAGCACAGGTATCAGTAAGTTCTCATGATTTCTAATGCACGTAAGTGTAAATGGATTTACATGGGTATATACACATATAGCACACAGGCATACATGCATCATGAGATACCACTACATATCCAACAGAATGGCTAAAATTAGGAAGACTGAAAATACTAAGTGTTTACAAGGAAGTGGAGCAAGTGGATCTCTCATACAATGAAAAATACTGTAGCCATTTAAAAAACAGTCCAGCAATTTCTTTACTTTTAAGCATACACTTACCATACGACCCAGTACTTATCCAAGAAAAATGAAAACATATGGCTATACAAAGATCTGTAAGCCCATGTTCATCGAAGCTTTATCCATAATAGCCAAAAACTGGAACACTGCTTGACAATAAAAATGAGTGAACTACTGATAAATACAGCAACACGAATAAATTTCAAGAGCACTGCACTAAGTGAAAGAAGCCAGATATAAAAGACTACATAATGTACAATATGTATAATTCCATTTGTCTGGCATTTTAGAAAAGGCAAAACTACAGAAACATAAAAGATCAGTATATCCCAGGGCCTTACAAAAGGGCAGAGGAACTTTTGGAGAAGAAAATGTTGTATATTTTGACTGAAATGATAGCTAAATGACTCTGCATACATTTGTCAAAACTCATCTAACTGTACACTCTAAGAGGATGAATTACAGGAGCACCTGGGTAGCATAGTCAGTTGAGCGTCCAACTCTTGGTTTCAGCTCAGGTCATGATTTCAGGGTTGTGAAATCAAGCACCTTGTAGGGCTCTGCACTCAGTGTAGAGTCTGCTTCAGACCCTCTCTCCCTCTCCCTCTGCCCCTCCCCACTGCACTCTCTCTCTCTCTCTCTCAAATAAATAAACCTTTAAAAAATAAAAATAAAAAATAAAAGGATAATTATACATCAATTTTAAAATGTACACATAAAAAGTGAGTAAATAACAAGTTGCTAGGTACAAGATATGTATAAAAATTAGTTATATTTTTACATACCAATGACAAAAAAATAAAAATTGACAATTTAAAATAAGACACCACTTACAACTGCATCAAAAACATCAAATACCTATGAATAAGTCTTTAAAAAAAACCCCTTCATACTGAAGACTATAAAACATTACTGACAGAAATGAAAAACTAAAGGGATAAACCAAATTCATGAACTGAAACACTCAAATAGTGTACAGATACCAACTTTCCCCAAATTGATCTACAGATTCAACATAGTCCCAATCAAAATCCAAGCAGATTTTAGTTTCTTGAAGAAATTTTATAGGCTTATTCTAAAATTTACATGGAAATGCAAAGGGCCTAGAAAAGCCAAGGCAAGCTCAAAAAAACAAAACTAGAGGAACCACATTGCCAGGCAGCAAGATCTATTGAAAATTACTCATGAAGGGGACACCTAGGTGGCTCAGTCGTTAAGCATCTGCCTTCGGCTCAGGTCATGATCCCAGGGTCCTGGGATCAAGCCCCGCATAGGCCTCCCTGCTCAGCGGAAAGTCTGCTTCTCCCCCTCCCGCTCCCCCTGCTTGTGTTCCCTCTCACATTGTCTCACTCTCTGTCAAATAAATAAATAAAATCTTTAAAAAAAAAAAATTACTGGGCGCCTGGGTGGCTCAGTTGGTTAAGCGACTGCCTTCGGCTCAGGTCATGATCCTGGAGTCCCTGGATCGAGTCCCGCATCGGGCTCCCTGCTCAGCGGCGAGTCTGCTTCTCCCTCTGACCCTCCCCCCTCTCATGTGCTCTCTCTCATTCTCTCTCTCTCAAATAAATAAATAAAATCTTTAAAAAAAAAAAAATTACTCATAAAGTAATTTAGACAACGCACTACTGACAGAAGGCTAAATGTGACTTAATGGAACAAAACAACGTCCAAGACCCACACATACACAGTTACCTGATTCTCAGTTAAGATGTACTGACAATTCAGCAGGGAAAGGATGGTTTTTCAATAAATGGTTCTGCATTGATTGCCTATCCATATGGAAAAACAGGAGAATCTTGCCCTTACCTCACAACATACGCTAAAATAGATTCCAGATAAATTATAGGTCAAAATGTAAAAGCAAAAACAATAAAGCTTTTAGAAGAAAAGAAAATCCTCCTAATTTTGTAGTAGGCAAGGACATAAAAAGCACTAACCAAAGGAAAAATGCAAAAGATTAAATAGTACAATTAAGAACTTGTATTCTTGAATGATATCTGATTTAAGAGAGTGAAAAGGTGAGTGAAAGAAGAGATTAGATACACATATATGCAGCAAGATCTGTATACAGAAAATTTCATGCACTCCCTCAAATACATAAGAAAAAAAAGGGATACACAGCATAAAAAAATTGGTCTTAACACTTAAAAGGGTATTTCACCAAAAAGGACATCCAGATGGTCAATAAGCATATAAAAATGTGCTAAACATGGGGCGCCTGGGTGGCTCAACTGGTTAAGCATCTGCCTTTGGCTCAGGTCATGATCTCAGGGTCCTGGGATCAAGTCCCGAGTTGAGGGGTCCTTGCTCAGTGGGGAGCCTGCTTCTCCCTTTGCCTCTGCCTCTCCCCCACCCCACCCCCGCTTGTTCATTTGTTCTTTTTCTCTCTCAGATAAATAAATAAAAATCTTTTTTAAAAGATGTGCACTTTTCATTTATTCCTTTCAAAACACTATGCAGTATGCAGTATTATAACCCTTATTTTATGGATGAGAAAACTGAGATAATAAGTAACTTGCCCACAGTCTTCTGGTCATAAAGCTGCAGAACTGGGATTATAACCCTGGCTCTCTAGATCAACTCTTCATCCCACACTATCTCTGGAAAGATATACGAAAGAAACCGGAGGCAGTGGTTGCCTCTGAGAAGGGAATAGTGACTAAGAGACCGGCTGCGGGAAAGGCTTATCAGAGAATATTCTAGGTACCTTTTTTTTTTTTTTTGCGGACTCCCTGAAGATTTTTTTTTATTTTATTTTATTATGTTAATCACCATAGATTACATCATTAGTTTTTGATGTAGTGTTCCATGATTCATTGTTTGCATATAACACCCAGTGCTCCATTCAATACGTGCCCTCTTTAATACCCATCACCAGGCTAACCCATCCCCCCACCCTCCTCCCCTCTAGAACCCTCAATTTGTTTCTCAGAGTTCATAGACTCTCATGGTTCAATCTCCCGCTCTGATTTCCCCCTCTTCATTTTTCCCCTCCTACTATCTTCTTTTTTTTTTAACATATAATGTATTATTTGTTTCAGAGGTACAGGTCTGTGATTCATCAGTCTAGGTACCTTTTGAAGGAATTCTCATCTATTATCAAAATTATATTTATTAAAATTTTTTTCTACGACTTATCATCTCTGAGCTACACAAAATTGCTTTAACCAGAAAACAAGAAGAATTAATTGCTTTATAGCTGGTGCAGCCACTCTGGAAAACTGTATGGAGGTTCCTCAAAAAGTCGAAAATAGAGCTACCATATGATCCAGCAATTGCACTACTGGGTATTTACCCCAAAGATACAAAAGTAGGGATCCGAAGGGGTACGTGCACCCCGATGTTTATAGCAGCAATGTCCACAATAGCCAAACTGTGGAAAGAGCCAAGATGTCCATCGACAGATGAATGGATAAAGAAGATGTGGTATATATATATATATATATATATATATATATATATATATATATATATATATATATACATACAATGGAATATTATGCAGCCATCAAAAGGAATGAGATCTTGCCATTTGCAACGACGTGGATGGAACTGGAGGGTATTATGTTGAGTGAAATAAGTCAAACAGAGAAAGATATGTATCATATGATCTCACTGATATGAGGAATTCTTAATCGCAGGAAACAAACTGAGGGTTGCTGGAGTGGTGGGGTGTGGGAGGGATGGGGTGACTGGGTGATAGACACTGGGGAGGGTATGTGCTCTGGTAAGCGCTGTGAACTGTGCAAGACTGTTGACTCTCAGATCTGTACCTCTGAAACAAATAATGCAATATATGTTAAGAAAAAAAAAAAAAGAAGAAGAAGGTAGTGGGAGGGGAAGAATGAAGCGGGGGAAATCGGAGGGGTAGACGAACCATGAGAGACGATGGACTCTGAAAAACAAACAGGGTTCTGGAGGGGAAGGGGGGTGGGAGGATGGGATAGCCTGGTGGTGGGTATTGAGGAGGGCACATTCTGCATGGAGCACTGGGTGTTATGCACAAACAATGAATCATGGAACACTTCATCTAAAACTAATGATGTAATGTATGGTGATTAACATAAGAAAAGTAAATAAATAAAAAATAAATTAAAAAAATAAAAATCCTAAAAAAAAAAAAAAAGAATTAATTGCTTTATTAGTTTACCTGATTTAGGATGCAAAGCATCGCACTGGGCATTGTACATGTGTACAAATTCTTGGTGCCTTTTAATGAGCTGTTGTTTATTTCCTTGAATAGATAATCCATGCTGTTTTAGCTTTTTCTTTAAATCACGATCTGAAAGCAAGTTATATACAGTTTTGGGCAGAGGCTTCCTTTTGTGAACAGAACTAAAAAGGGGGAAAAAAGAGATTACTTAGAGTTATTGTGCATTATCAAATGCTCTTCACATAAAACAGTTAATTTGCCTTCTGATGCAGTACCAGTGTGACTGGGAAAATAGTGGAACCATTAATATAAAATGGGAAAGAGAAGAATTAAATTTGTAAATAAGGTTGACAATGTTGGACATGAAGCATCTGAGGTGCCTACGGCACATTCAGCTACCAGGGTCTAGGTGGCAGCCAACCTTAGAGAAATATAGGTCTCAGAAAGAGGTCAGGCCTAAAGATGCAGACCCGGGACACCCATGGAAATGTGCACTAAATGCTGTTAAGAACCTCACTTCAGAATCACACTTACATCGACTTCCTCAATTCTCCACTGCTTTAAAGCATGTTGTCCTAAAATGTGCCCATGGTTTCCATGCAAAATATCTGCAAAAAACCATTACCTCGGATGATCAGAGTACAAACACTATTGAGATTAGACTACAAATTTAAGAATATATCTGCTTTAGAAAAAGTGCTGATCCACAGGCAAAACTGCCCCCTCAAAGTGGAGGCAAACATTGTACAAAAGTTCTAGATTAAATAAAAGATGTGTTGGGATGGTTAGCTTTACCCAATTATTTACTGCCAATGAAAAAAGAATTCTGAAAGTTGACAGGTAGATAATATTCTTATGGCATCATCTTCAAAGAACACGATTGAAAACAATAGCAAGGGCGCCTGGGTGGCTCAGTTGGTTAAGCGACTGCCTTCAGCTCAGGTCATGATCCTGGAGTCCCGGGATCGAGTCCCGCATCGGGCTCCCTGCTTGGCAGGGAGTCTGCTTCTCCCTCTGACCCTCCCCCCTCTCGTGTGCTCTCTCTCATTCTCTCTCTCAAATAAATAAATAAAATCTTTAAAAAAAAGAAAACAATAGCAAGAAATACAAGAGGGTTTTATTCCCTTCAACTTCAATTAATTATATTAACAAATATATAAGGATTACAAGTGTATTAGCAAAATCACCACCTGGCTCTTCTTTCTATTTATATAATTAATACACTGACAAGCACTAAGCTACAATTTAATATAGCAGAGCCCTATTAAATGACTTTTTTCTGCTCCCTCCAAAAAAACCAGTTAATAAACATTACTTCTTAAAATGGAACAAAAGTCAAGCTACCTAAGGGTATCAATGATTTGAGATAATTTTATAAACAGGAACTCCTTAGTGAGCTTTAATCTATTTAATCTGATTATAACCTGGCTCTCTCAGTATGTTACTTGGCTCAACACCATGGCAATTAGGTGCTTAATAAATATGCATTCAAAGTAGTCATTACAATTCCAATATTTCAAAATTAAAATACCAAAGTTTCCAGTAAAAATTAATAAGCACTTGAAAGTAAACGGTTTATCAAAAAAAACCCATGATTTTACAAAGGACTTGTATATAACTAGTTTGCCTTCAAGGCCATGCTACCCAAACTGGAGCGAATCTTGGAATCACCAAGAGAGTTTATTAAATTGCAGATTCTTGGTCACGTCTCCATAACACCCCCCAATTCTGATTACGTTCTGAAGTGGAGACCTAAAATCTATGTTAACAAGCTTCCATAGGGTAAATCTGATGTAAATGGCCCAAAGACTATACTGAGAGAAATAGTACAGTTGAATATATGTAGACTGAAAACAACCAAACATTTTTCTATTAATCAACAGTACCATTCCCTGACTAAATTATTTCTTTTATGCTTTATCAATAACGTCTAAAAGCCAGAGATAACTATTTAACATAGAAGGACCTACAAACTCAAGAGATTACATTTTTCTGAAAACTACCCAGTGGGCTCTACAAAACAGGTAAGATTACAGCTAAATAAAATCACAGTGGGTAGCAAGAGCTGAAACATTTTGTACGAGTTTATACAAGCACACTGTGAGGGATAGTTCATTAAGCCTGTATCTGAAACATTTATTTTATCAAGTACAGACAATTAAACTGATGACTGTGAAATTCGAATGGGAAACTGTACTGTTCACTGGCATTTACGATGAAAAGCACCCGCAGATATCAACAATTTCTATCCAGAATTTTAAAATATGAAGCCTGATAGATGATTCCCAAAACATGAAGATAACACTGATCCTTCTTCCATGATTTAGTGAAAATGAGTAATGCATTTAAGGGTCCTCAGAATCTGAAGACATCAAAAGGAAAAATATTCTTTGAATCAACTCTGATACGATTCTACATAGGGGGTTAAGGGTTATCACCCCTAACAAGGAAATGGCCTGTCAGGCCATTTGTAGATAAAATGTTGTAGATAAAATATTCTAAATGTCACAGTATCTTTTATTTGACCAGACAGACCCCAGGACCAGGATGTAACTTAAGAGAAATGCAGCTCAATGTTCCCCTAAACATATCTTTACAAATTAGTTTTTTAAGATGTAAATTATGAGGACAGAAAGGTTTTGGGGTCAAGGGGAGCCTGAGTGCCTCAGTTGGTTAAGCGTCTACCTTTGGCTCAGGTCATGATCTCAGGGTCCTGGGATGGAGCCCCACAGCGGGCTCCCTGCTCAGTGGGGAGTCTGCTCCCTCTGCCCCTCCCCCTGCTCATACTCTCTCTAATAAATAAATGAAATCTTGGGGAAAAAAAAAGATTTTGGGGTCAAATAATGTAGTAATTACTGGATTAAATAAAATCCAACAATTACCTTTGATGTAGGACTTCTCAGATCCTTCAATACACTCACTGGTATAGTGAATCTTTCCCTAAGAGAGATATGATATGCAGTGCTTCTAAACTGCAAGCCAGAGCAAACGGCAGAACTACAGTATTCCAAGGAGCAGGGTTTGGAACCACTATTGGAACTTGAACTTAATTATGTATGGATGAGTATGTCTTTGGATAAACTGACAGAACTAAATGTATTAGAAGAACTATGAAAGATGCATCTAGAAAAAGAGCAGTCCAAGCAAGAGTATCAGTGTTGACTTCTCACTATTCAAGGAGAACATGCTCAGCCTTTACACTTGAAACTCATTCCTCAGGAAGAAACATTTTTTTTTTTTTAAGTGGGCTCCATGCCCAATGTGGGGCCTGAACTCAGGACCCTGAGATTGAGAGTCACATGCTCTACTGACTAAGCCAGCCAGGCGTCCCAGGGAGAAACATTTCTAAGGAGAAATGCAGGTCACCAGATTCTCATGGTTTATGGGAAATAACCCTCAGGATGAAGGAGACAGAATGGAAGAGGTGGCAAATAGTTTATAAAGTACAAGAAGTACCTTGTTAAAGTAGCTCAATGGTTATGCTTTAACTTTCTTACCTTCTGAGGCTTTCCTTCTTCTCCTCACGTGTTAAACAGCTGTCTAAGTGCTTATTAATGTGATTTTCTGGAATATTAACCCCGCAAACAGGACAATCCACTGTATTTTTTTAAAAAGAGAAAGAGAGACTTTATTATTTACAGAAAGGGCAAAAATAATGTATAACCTGTCATCTTTTAGCAATTAATATAAAAAAAAAAAAAATCCTAACCTTAACATGCACTTAGGAAAGCAGAAGAGAAAAAGAATGACACCTCAAGGCAACAGGATTGGGAGAGACTATTCACTGAGTAATGGCTAAATTGTGTTAAGTCACATAATTAGAATCTGCGGCCTACAGGAAGAGATTGCAAAGAAGTCTGGGGATTCATTTATTAGAAAATGCTCTGGTTAAGTCTTTTCTACAGAGGTGTGACCAGCCTATAGAACTAATCTTAAGTTTTCTGGTCCAGGAGTCATTCACATGTAGCACTGTAGCAATCGTAACAACATGAATAAGATACACCGGGCTGGGGATGAGAGAGTATGCAAAGCTAAACTGAAGCATTTGTTGGTTTGGGCCAACTACTGTTCAAATCAGCAATGGTTACAAATTCGATAATTTAGCTCTCATTTGTAATTACAAATGTAGTGTTGCCATTAGGAAACACAATCATTCTCAAACTGTTTGACGAAGTTGCAGAGAACTGTGGAAGAATCTTGGGGCCCAGAGGCCACCATGATAAAGACTGGGATGAAGCAGGAGGTCAGGGCCTCCATCTCTACTTCAAGGGAGCAAGGCCAATTTTATCTATTTTATGTTTTACAGTTCATGGTAAGATTTCATTTGAAAAAAAACTGGTCTGTTAGGGGGAAAAAATTAACTATCAAGCTAAAAACACTACAACAAGAACTGTCAATTGATAGACTGACAAAAGATAGGGTAGGAAATGCAAGATCCACATATCCTTAAAAATTTTATTTTTTTTAAGATTTTATTTATTTATTTATTTGAGAGAGAGAGAGAGCAAGAGAGCGAGCACATGAGCAGGGGCAGAGGGAGAAGCAGATTCCCTTGCTAGCAGGGAGCCTGATGCAGGGCTCAATCCCAGGACCCCGAGCCCCTCCTTACAAAATTTAAACCCTTGAGTATTAATACGCTAACTTCAATCTAAGTTTAATAACCACTAATTGCGGGGCGCCTGTGTGGCTCAGTTGGCTGAGCATCTGCCTTCGGCTCAGGTCATGATCTCAGGGTCCTGGAATCGAGCCTGTGTCATCAGGCTCCGTGCTCAGCAAGGAGTCTGCTTCTCCCTCTCCCTCTGCCCCTCCCAACTGTTCATACTCTCTTGTGCATGCTCTCTCTCTCCCTCTCCCTCAGATAAATAAAATCTTTAAAAAAAACTAAAATGAATAACCACTAATTGCCCTGCACTATGTATGATGTGGGCATACCAAAGATGTCTAAGACATAGTTTCTGCCTAAAAGGTGATCTGAACTTCACGGGTAAGAGGAAACATGGAAACAATAGGTTAAACAAGCTGATCGAGTCATCAAAAAAGCAAACTATACACAAAATAGTCCAGAAAACAAGTGCCGTAACACTTTCGTGATGTGAGATGTCAATATTGTCTAACATAACCCAAGAATGGTTAGGATCTGGATAGAATCTAGAAAGATAAAACAGGAGTCAGCAAATTTTTTTTTTTTTAAGAGAGCAAGAGCGTGCAGGTGAGTGAGCATGGTTGGGTGGGGATCTCAAGCAGGCTCCCTGCTGAGTACAGAGCCCAATGCAGGGCTCGATCTCACAACTCTGATATCATGACCTGAGCCAAAATCAAGACTTGGACGCTTAACCGACTGAACCACCCAGGCGCCCCAGCAAACCTTTTTAGTTAAGGGCCAGTTAGTAGAGATTTTAGGCTCTGCAGGCTAGATGGTCTGTGTTACAACTACTAATCACTGCCATGGAGCATGAAAGCATTCATAAACAATATGTCAACAAATGGGTGTGGCTATTTTCCAGTCAACCTTTACTTACAAAAATAAAAGTGTCAAGCCAAACTTGGCCTGCAGCTTGTAGTTTTTCCAATCTCTGGGTGTATTCAAGGAATAATGGAAAGATCAGTTTGGCTAGCGCAGAAGGATTTTTGAGACGGAGGTCAGACATCTAGGGGAGGGGTCAAATTGTCTATGGCTATAAATGCCAGTCAGAACAGCTTGGAAGTGTTCAAAAAGGGGTATAAGAAGATAAAATGAGCTCGTTAAGATTAAACTGGAACTGATATGAAAGATGAGGAGGGAAATTAAAAGCTGAAAAATAAAAAGCTACTGCCATAGTTAAAATATGAGCTAACTAAAATTGTTCCATTTTTCCAGCAATCAGCCTGAATTCCTATTCTGTGAGAGAGAAAGAGTATAAAAATATCTTGCAGCATTGCCTACATCAATTTCTGAGACTGTTATAATGTAAAATTTGGTTTGTCCTTTCCCATTCCATCCCCCTAAAGATGCTTATTTATTCTCAGGTCATATGGGATGAAAAGATTTCCATTAAGTAAGAAAATACATACATGAAAATAATTTCCTACCTTTGGTAACCTGTTTCAAAGTTGATGTAGAGGGTGTCTCAGGAACATGAGCATCTAAGGAACACGGAGCTGCCTTTTCTATAGGTGTCTCTTTGGTCTTTGAAGAAGTGCTCACCTCTTTCTGAGGGGTGCATTTACTCTCATTCTCTTTTATCAACAACTCTGATGTGGAACCACCAGTTTCTCTGATCAAGAAATTCTCCATTAACCTGCTTCCTTGCTTTAAAGAACGTCTGAAGGCTACAGGAGTGTGTACTTTGGAAGCAAGGTTCTTTGAAGAGGAAGAAGCAGGAGATATGGGTGGTGACTCTAAGGCAAACTGCAACAGATGATTCCTTGAAGCACAAAAAATACAATGGATAACGAAGATGTCAAGTTATATACAATAAGTTAACTGACATAAGCTGTTTACCCAATTAACACTTGCTTCTGTGAAATACAGAACTTACTCCATAATGGCAACCAAACCAGTATTTCTTCAAAGCAATAAATCTGACTTAAAAAGCAGTTAATCTTTTATAAAGGAAAATGGAGATACTTCAGAATCTGGCCATGAAGAATACCTGGTATAAGACTTACTCTCCAACCATACGTAACTTTAAAATTGAACAAAACACACAAAACAAATGTTTATAGCATGGACTATAATCAATACAAGGCTCCAGTCACTGAAAGAAAAGAGAAACATGAGGTGATCCAACATTCCCCCAAGAACTTCCCCTGGAAGCATCTTCTCGGAATTAGGTATTGAAATGAAGTTCAAATAGAGACCAGAGGGAAGAGAGATTAGAGTCCTGGGCAAAGATGGCTAGGATTACTCCCAAAGAAAGAGAACCCCAAAAATCTGCACAGAAATTCTCATCCACTCCTGATCACCTCCAGGGCTTCAAAAGCCTGAGAGAAAGAGAACAAGAGAACCTCGTAGGAAGCACATGCTGAGAAGCTGAGAAAAGTTGAAAAGTTGTTGGAGTTTGAGCCCAGCCAAATTGGAAAGATCTTGGAAAAAATCCCAGACATTCAGTTGAAACCCCACAAAGGCCACACCTTAGGAAAAATGACCATACTCTGGAAATATAAAACATTAATAGACCAAACCCAACAAAACACTAAATAAGGCCCTAACAGAATAAAAGTGAAGAGCTGGTGGGACACCAGCTCAATCAGTTAACCATCTGACTCTCGATTTCAGCTCAGGTCTTGATCTCAGCATAGTGAGTTAAAGCCTCGCATTGGGCTCCACACCAGGCATGGAGCCTACTTAAAAAAAAAAAGTGAAGAGCTGGTAATTTAGCCACCCATCAGAACAGAATCCAACATCTTTCAAAGGAAGATAATTCACAGCCTCCATAACATTTCATCAAAACACATTTTAAAATGACTAGATATGCAAAGAAACAAGAAATTAGCCACTAATCAAAAGATCAAATAGTCAATGGAAGTAGATCCAGAGGTGATCCAAACAGTGGCATTAGAAGGACTTCAAGATAACTACAATGAATATTAAAAAAAAAAGATGAAAAAAAAAATGAATAAAAAGATAGTGTACTGTTAGGGGGAATTAAAATCCATCCCAAAAAGGATAAACAAAGAAAATAAAACCTAGGCATATACTAACCAAACTGCTAAAGAATAAAAGAGAGAAAATCTCATACACAACCAGAAAAAAAATAAGACATGCGACCTCTAAGGCACAGTGTCTCAACCTCGGCACTACTGACACTTTGAATCAGAGCCTTTTTTGCTGTGAACCGTGCACTGTAGGAATGTCAGTAGCATACACCCCACCCTGGGTTGAGACAACCAAAACATATCCAAACATTACCAAATGTCCCCTGGGGTAGGGGTAAAAGGAAGGTAAAATCACTCCCAGCTGAGAACCACTGCTCTAAGAAACAATAAAAACATTACTGACTACTCAACAAAAACAATGAAAGCAAGAAGATAATAGAATGACATCAGGACATCTTTAAAAAGCAAAACTACCAAGAGTTCTATTTCCGCTGAAAACAGTGTTCTAGGGGCGCCTGGGTGGCTCAGTCGTTAAGCGTCTGCCTTCGGCTCAGGTCATGGTCCCAGGGTCCTGGGATCGAGCCCCGCATCGGGCTCCCTGCTCCGCGGGAAGCCTGCTTCTCCCTCTCCCACTCCCCCTGCTTGTGTTCCCTCTCTCGCTGTGTCTCTCTCTCTGTCAAATAAATAAATAAAATCTTTAAAAAAAAAAAAAAAAAAAAAAAAAAAAAAAAACAGTGTTCTAGGGCGCCTGGGTGGCTCAGTTGGTTAAGCATCTGCCTTCGGCTCAGGTCATGATCGCAGGGTCCTGGGATCGAGTCCCACACCAGACTCCGCTCTACAGGGAGCCTGCTTCTCCCTCTGCCTCTGCCTCTCTCTCTCTGTCTCTCATGAATAAACAAGTAAAAATCTTTTAAAAAAAAGAAAATAGTATTCTAAAGTGAGAGCAAAATACATTCTCCAACTAAGAAAAGCTAAGAGAATTCCTCACTGGCAGACAAGAAATACTACAAGAAATGTTCTTCAGCTTAAGGGAAACAATTCTAGAGGGAAGCACAAAAATGTCAGCAAGAATCAACAGCTCCAGAAACGGTAAATACGTGGGTAAAAACAAAACTACTGACTGTTTTCAACAACACTAACAATGTCTTGTTGAGATTTTTAACATACATGGAAGTAAAATGCATACAAAAACATTGCAAAAAAAAAAGGGAGATTAAATGATATAAAAATACTGTAAGGTTCTTGCATTGTTCAGGACATAATAAAAGTACTAATTTATGGTACACTATCATTAGGATGTATTTTGTCATTTTTTTCAGTAAGGACTTAAAAGAGTGACACTAAGAGGTATAATGTAAAAACTAACAAAGGAAATAAAATAATAAAAATACTCAATATTGAAAAGAATGGGCAGGAATAAATAAATAATTTTTTAAAAAAAGGAACAAATGGAGAAAGAAAACAAAAAGCAACATGGCAAACTGTAATCACATTAAATGTAATGGATACATACTCCAAAAGACAAAGATGGTCAGACTGGATTAAAAAATAAGATACAAGGGCGCCTGGATGGCTCAGTTGGTTAAGCGACTGCCTTCGGCTCAGGTCATGATCCTGGAGTCCCGGGATCGAGTCCCGCATCAGGCTCCCTGCTCGGCAGGGAGTCTGCTTCTCCCTCTGACCCTCCTCCCTCTCATGCTCTCTGTCTCTCATTCTCTCTCTCTCAAATAAATAAATCTTTGGAAAAAAAAAAAAGATACAAAAGATACAATTATATACTGTTTGAAAGAAAACACTTTAAATATAAAGACCCAGGAAGGTTAAAAATAAAAGGATGGGAAGAGATGTACCATGAATACTAATGAAAAGAAACCTGATATGGCAACATTAGTAACAGACAACATTAATGCAAAAAGTATTATGAGACATAAAGAGGGACCTCTCATTTTGACAAAATGGTCAATTTAATTCAAAGCCATAAAAATCATAAATTATATTCACTTAATAGCATAGCTTCAAAATGTATAAAGCAAAAACTGACAGACCTAAAAGGAGAAACAGCCCATTCACAATACTGTTTGGTTTAAATAATAGTGTGTATAAATCCAAACACACCTTTCTAACTAACAAAACAGATAAAAATCAGTAAGAGTACAGAATATCTGAACCAACCCAATTAATCGAATTGATGTAATTAACAAAAAATATTACATCTGACAAATGCAGACTACACATTCTTTTCAAGTATACATGGCATATTTACCAGCATAGACCACATTCTAGGCCATAAAGTAAATCTCAACAAATTTACAAGGAATGAAATAATTCAGTGTATCTACTCTGACCACTGTGAATTCACATGACACTCAATAACAAAAAATAACTAGACAATCTCCAAACTTTAAGAGATGCACTTTAGTGTGTTAAGCACTACACTTCCAAATAACCCTTTAGATCAAAAACAATGCAAATTAGAAAATATTCTGAGTTGAATGACAACTTGGAGGTTTGCTAAAACAGTCCCTAGAAAACAATTTACAGCTTAATAGAAAAATTGAAAATCAACACTCTAAGCTTCCAACTTAAAACATTAGGTAATGAACAGCAAATTACAACAAAAGAAGGATGGAAATAATAACATATTAATGAAATAGAAAATAAGCATATGAGAGGAAATAAGCAAAGCCAAAAGTTGGTTTTTTGAAAAAAAATTAATGAAATTAATAAACCCCTACCAAGACTGAACAAGAAAAAAACAAGCGAAAATACAAACTACAAGAACAAAGATTTATAAGGAGGCATCATTACAAATCCAACAGAAATTAAAAGATAAGAGGATATTATGAAAATTTTATATCAATAAAATCAAAATTTTAAATGAAATGGACAAAGTTCTTGAAAAAGACTACTCATCAAAATTGCCAAAGGAAGAAACAGAAAATCTGAAGAGCAGTATTATCTATTAAAAAAACTGAGCTGTAATTAAAAACCTTCCTACAAAAAAAAAAAAATCCTTCCTACAAAGAGAACTCCAGGCCCAGATGGTTTTGCTGGTAAATTCTACCAAATATTTATGGAAGAAATAATAACAGTGTTACACAAAATCATTCAGAAAATAAAAAAAGAAGAATATTTCCCAACTCATATTAAAGCCAGCATAACCTTAATAACAAAATCTGACAAGCACATTGTAGGAAAATAAAATTATAGTCCAATAATATCTCAAATATAGACACAAAAATCAAAAATGAAATATTAACAAATAAAATCTGGAGACAAATAAAAAGTACAATGCTTCATAACCAAGTGGGATTTATTCCAGGAACACAAGGTTGGTTTGCTATTTGAAAAATCAATGTAATTCACCACATTAACAAAATAAAGGAGAAAAACTATACAATCATTACAATAAATGCAGAAAAAGCATTTGAAAAAATTCAATACCCATTCATAATAAAAACACTTTAGAAAACCAGGAATAGAAGGAAACTTTTTTTTTTTAAAGTAGGCTCCATGCCCATCATGGAGCCCAATACAGCGCTTGAACTCACAACCTTGAGATCAAAACCTGAGAAGAGATCAAGAGTCAGATGCTTAACTGACTGAGCCACTCAGGCCCCCCAAAAGGAAACCTTCTTAATCTGATAAAAGATACCATCAAAATAACTGTGCTAGGGGCGCCTGGGTGGCTCAGTCGTTAAGCATCTGCCTTCAGCTCAGGTCATGATCCCAGGGTCCTGAGATCGAGCCCCGCATCGGGCTCCCTGCTCTGCAGGAAGCCTGCTTCTCCCTCTCCCACTCCCCCTGCTGGTGTTCCCTCTCTCAC